TGTGTATATAGTGTGTGTAGTGTGTGTAGTGCTCTTGATGGTCAGAAGAGGAGGACAGAGCCAGAGCTGCCAAGTGGTTGCTAGGAGTCGAACCCAGGCCCTCTGGAAAGAACAGCAAGTATTTTTATCCCCTGAGCCACCTCTCCATCCTATTTATTTGCAACTTTTACCTAATAATGAGTATCATTTATTAAATACTTACTATTTGCCAGGTATTCTACTGTCAATTAAATAAGCTACCAATATTAACTTATTTGCATAGTGCTATGAGGTCAGCTATGTTGCTCTCTGAATATTGCTGAATAGGAAACTCAGAGAAAGAGGATAGATTGGTCACTCCTGTGTCCCATGTGTCTTAGACATTATTAGGAATGAGGCACCCAACCATTGCTGGGTGAATGAGTTGATGTATGAATGAAGATAGAAACCTTACTGTGTAGCCACAGATTCTGAGTTGATGGTGGTTATGATTTTCTTTTTGTATCAAAATGATTTTGACTTCATGTATAGAAAACACCACAAAACCAACTTGATCAGGAATATATGTTAGCTCCTGTTCAGTCACTTCCAAAGTCACCAGGGATCCAAGTTTCCTTACTCTTCTGTTCTGTGGTTGTTACTGTCTTGGTGTCACTCTTCCTGGAAAGTGTCACAACAGCCAGTGGCAGCAGAAGGATTTGAGCCATCAGGTTTTCAAATAACCACTCTGAGCATCTATATCAAAATGCAAGCATCCATCTTGTTATATAAACCTCTGGCTCCATTAAACTCCCATATGGGATTCCCGGGATCACAGGTGTCTTTGTTCAGGGATTATATTCCATCCCCCAACACTTGTGACTGTTGTCTTGCCATGGTCAGGAGAGGTCTCCATGGTCACCCAGTGTAGCCTCAGCAGGGGAGGAGAGAATGTGGAGTGGTGAGAGAGACATGAGTCCATTTTTCTTCTCATTCTCTGCCAACCTCTGTCAGTGTCACACTTAACAACAGGTGTGGTATCACACTTACACAGTTGTGGTAGCATGTGGACCTGAGAAGACCCAGGAAGAGGAGGAAAAGGTTTGAATATCTACTGACTGTTGCCATTGGGAAACCTTCCTTATTTCACCTTTGCAGACAAGAAAATTGGCTGGTAGATCTCTGCAAGTCTGCCTCATACCTACAGCAATTACTGTCTGCAAGTCTGCCTCTACCTACAGCAATTACTGCCAGTAGCAGGAGCCATAGTTTGGGGCTTTAGTTAATCTTTTTTTAATTAAAAGGAATGACTCTAAAAATATTTTCATTGAATTTTTAAGAATTTTGTACAGTGTTTTTTTTTTATCATATTCAGACCCCTACCCTTATCTGTACCTCCCCTTATTACTCCATGCCCAAATTAATATACTGTATTCTATGCATATTTTAAAGCTTGTCAAGTCTAATTTGTATCCCCATGTACTCTTTGTTGTGGATCTATTCACTGGAGCCTGGTTAATCTATTTAGCATCATGCTTGTAAAGAAAACTGACTCTTCCTCTCCCAACAGCTATCAGTTGCCAATAGTTCCTCAGTTGGGGTTAGGGCTTCTTACACACATACCACCTCTGTGCTTGGAATTTGTCTGACTTGAGCTTACATAGGTCTTGTGCATACTTTCACAATTGCTATGAGTTCAAATAAGTAACTTCCCAGCGCCTGGAAAAAACACTTTTCCTTGAGGCCATCCACTTCCTCTGGCTCTTATGATCTTTTCACCTACTCTTTTGCAATGATCCCTAAGCCTTAGGAGGAAGCCACTTTCCATATCTGAAATCCCACAGAACTTACTTAGCTTGTCACAAGTCACATGTTCTTTTTAGCTGAGGAGTGCAGGTTTTCTGAGTTGAGGGAAAGGGCCAGTTACATGGGGGCGGGGGGCGTTTAGACTGGCTGGCAGGCTCTCAGAGCATTGGAATCCAAGCTTCAGAGGAAGAAAGAAATACCTATCTTTGTGTGTGTGTATGTGTGTGTGTCTGTGTGTGTCTGTGTGTGTATTATGTGTATGTATATGTTTGTGTGTGTATGCGGGTACATGTGCACTTGTGTGTACATATGTGCAGAGGCCAGAGGTTGACATCAGCTGTCTTCCTCAGTCTCTCTACACTATACACACACACACACACACACACACACACACACACACACACACGTCTTTTTGAGACAGATGTCCATATAGGCCACAACTGGTCTGTAACTCACTATGTAGACCAGGCTAGCCTTGAACACAGAGATCCTCCTGCCTCTGCCTCCCACGTGCTGGGATTAAAGGTGTGCACCACCATGCCCAGCTCACTGTATTTTTTTGACAGAGGGTTTCTCAGTGAACCTGGAGCTCACCAATTGTTTAGACTGGCTGGCAGTCTCCAGTGGTCTTCCTGTCTCTGCCTCCTAATGCTTGACTTTTTACAAAGGTCCTCATGTGTGCACAGCATGAGTCATCTTCAGAATCGCAAGATACCTGTCTTGTATGATATTAAAACATTGTATTTTTAAAAGAAAATACTTTTCTGTATCCTGGGTAAAGTCCAGATTTGCAGTGGTATGAGTTACTAACAGCATCATTAGTCGCTGTCCAAGGTACTAATCAGCTGTGCGTGCACAGTTCTTTGGTTCTGCCTGTGTGTGCTCTGTTCCTTTAAGTCTTTCCTTTGTAATAGGTATAGGCTGTTCTTTGAAATGTATTCAGCATTTTCCATGGGAACAAAAATAGGCAAAACCCAGAGATCAGCATTTTATTGTGTAACTTGATAATGCATTTCCTTAGCGGCCCAATCTCTTCCTGTTAACCTTTGCCATGTTGTCCGTCTTTTCAGAAGCCTCTCTCCTGTGAAGTATTTTGTTTTCAGTGTTACCTGGGGGTGAAATTGGAGATCATTTGGGCTATTTTCATGCATTTTATTTTCTACCCGTTTTATAATATGCTAAATATTTAAAAAACAATAGAGAAGTATAAATTGATGTGTTAACAACTACCAATAATTTTGTAGCCTAAAATAATTATAATCTTTTTCTTGATATGCTACTCCACAGCTTCTTTATTTTTAATCCAAAGTTGATAACTTTCTTGTTCTTTTTATATTTTTTTGCTAAGAACTTGACCATATTTCTAAAATAAATTTTGACAAGTAGATTTTAGTTGATGTTTAATATTCTAGAATGTAATATAAGCTAACTACTCCTTTTTTGCTCAAATTTAAGTTATTTTACAAAAATGTCTTTATTCGGTGATTTTTTTTTTGGTATTTTCTGGAAACTAGATAATTTTTATTGAGTAAATTCCTAGGGACAATGCTATTGATAAAGGGGCATATTTAGTTTATTGTGATTGCTATAATAAATGACCACAAACTTGGTGGCTTAAAATGACAGAAACGTGTTCTTTCATGGTGCTGGGTGGTAGGAGTCCAAAATTCAGGTGTCTGAAAGTGTCTGCCTAGAGGCTTTAGAAAGGTTCTCATCGGCCTCTTCAAGCTTCTGGTGGCTTCAGGTATTTTGCAGCTTGTGGCCACGTCAATCCAATCTCGGTCTTTGTCTTCACATGGCTTCTTCACTATTTGTCTTCTTTTCTTGGGTTCATCTAAACTTCTGTGCCACAAGGCTGCCTCTAGTTACACTCAGAGTCCATACAGGTAACCCAGGATTAACCTTTCATCTGAAGATCCTTGATCATCATATCTGCAAATAAAGTCACATTTGTAACTTATTTCCAGGGCTTTTGATGTGAACTCCTTTGGGACTACTTTGGTCACCCCACCGGCATGGACACTCCTAAGGATCTCGAAGCTGTTGCCCAACTGCATCGTACGCCATCGAGTCTCACTAGGGAATGCTCATTTTTCCAGTCTCTTCAGTAACAGGGATAATAAAGACAAGTATGAACTGCTGGGGCACAGATAGGACTTTAAAAAGGTGACAGAGGAAGCCCAAGTCCAAAACAACAAAAGAAAGGAGCAAGAGAACTGACAGAGCATTCAGAATGTTTTCTGTATCTACATAGAGAAAATCATGATGCATGTGATCCTTGAAGCACCACCTTTACCCTTAGAAGAATGTGAACAGCCTTCATATGTAAAGAAAGGATCAAAGAATGTAAACAGACAGGTAAGGAAAGAGCCAGTGAGCATTTGAGAAGAGTCTGAGTCACTGAGTAATGGTGACAAAGAAGCAAAATAAAGGGTTATTTTGTCTCAACTATCAAATGAGGTAGCTTTGAAAACAATGACCAAGTGCTTTTGGTGTTTAACTTCCAAGGTGACAAGGGCTGGAGTCCGTTGGTTCACTTGTCGGCAGCCCCTCCCCTTATCTCTCAGTCCACTTGTTTGTCTGCCAACTGCATGCACCTTTCAGTATCTCCTCTGCCTCCAACTGATCAGGGAACACTGTGTTCTGTCTTCATAATGAAATGTAGACTTCCTCATCAAAAGACTTAATAGGATAGCATTTTAAAAAAAGAATGCAAACTAGCTAAATTTAGTTCCTGAATAGTGTCCAGTCTGGAAATAGATCTATTCTGAAATCTCCATCCCAGGGCCCTCTCTTCCACCTGCGAAGGTGCCCTAGCCAGATGGTTGGTGGCCTGCAGTTTCTTTCCCTTTCTCTCTGTCAGCAACAGGTATGGTCAGCTACGCTTCTCTGACAAACTCCTGCTAATTTCAAATTGTCGTCACTGTGCCATGCCCTCTGTGTATTTATAGTGGGAGTTCCTTCTGTGGCTTGGTGTCTTCTAGCAGTGCCATCAGTTCATGGCATCTCTTCTTTGAGGATATTATAGAATCTTGTCAGGAGGCTACATAGGGTCAGCCTTATTTTCAGTACCTAACTCAATCCTTCCACTCAGTCTTACATTTCTGTTCCATCTGGATTTTTATAAAATGTAGGTTTATTATGTTTTCCTCATAATGAACTAATCATTATTGTTACTACAGAAGAGGGTCACTATCTACATTTCTGTACAGAGTTCTAGGATGAATCCCAGGCCCTGGCTCACCTAGTTTTCACCTCCCTGCCACTTGGAGGCAGAGCAGGTAAAGCATCCTGTATTCTATCCCCAAGACAGCATTCTTGACATTCCACGTTTATCACATTGACATGGTGAAGTCACTGTGGATAGACCATTTTGGGTTGCCCTGTTATAGAACCAAAAGTAGGAGCTGAGCCTCAGCTCATTCCTAACTCCCTGATGCCATAAGCAGAATGATGAAAAATGCATAACATTGCTTTATACGCGTCCCTTGTATTCTCTCAGTATCAGAGTGTTTAAGTGGGGTCACATGCAGTTAGCTAAAAAATGAATCAGACTTGATCCCTTCCCCATATATTCCATAGTCACATGAGAAGTACAGATGTGAAGACTGTGTGGTATGCAGCAAGCAATAGAGGTGGGGCCTGGAGGCTTGTCTGGAAGCAGGGACGGGAGCACTTCTTGGTATAGTAGCTGCAGAGATTCAAGACGGGCAGCATGTTACTGTGTAGGAGGCAGCACTGAGGATCTCTGTCCTCCTGGCTTCAAGCTCCTGACCATATGTTCTGTGCTGAGTGCAGTGAGTTCTGCCAAAGAGGTGCAGGTCTTGGATACTCTTTTGAAATTTATAAGTGAGAGAGGCAAGTGGTGGCCATGAGCGTTGGAGTAAAGTGATCTTAGCACTCAGACTTGTCCCATGAAGACTCCATGGACAGCATGGCCAGGCTGACAGCAATTACCCTTGTGGACATCCTCTGAACTCTTCAGTTTCTTAAAAGAGGATGAATTTCCTTTGCACCCAGGACAACATTCTCTCAAATGTTTTACTTTTTTGTTCATCTGAGTACATTTATATTTATCCCTATTCCCTGTTCTTAATTTTGGAAATATGGCAAAAACCATTATTGTGCTGTTTGTTCTACATTTTTTCCTTAAAAGAGCAAGCAGCTACAAATAAGAAAGCCTTTTAACTTTGTGGACTTAGGTCAGGAATGACTATGAATCTCTTTTGCAAATATGAACGTAGAAGCATTGAAAATTTAGGAAATCTTTATGGCTGGGCCATAAACCTCATCATTTCTATATGGTATAACAATGTAGCATAGATTATTACTTACTACTTCTGTATAGAGAAAGAACAAGTATTTCTACTATGTACTTGGAACAAGAACTTCTTCTTCAGAAAAACATCAGTGTTAGGGGAAGTTAAACAGTTTGCTTCCTTTTCTGTATCTCTGCCTAATATGGTGATGATTTATTTACACTGAAACTTCTGAGGGGAAGTCAGGGAATTTAGTGAATAGGAAGTACAGGAACTAATTAAGTCATAATTATGCTTGGTAAATGTTTACTTCTAGGGAAGAATTGAGAGAATTACTGTAAGATGAGAGGGCATTGAATGTCTTGAGGCTGGGACAGATGTATAAGGAATTGCATAGTGCAGGTGAGACATAGAGGAAGTGGAAATCCCAGGAAGACTAGATGGATCCATAGGAGTCCAGTGGAAACATCTGGGGGTCTAGCCTAGAAACTTCTATGAATTTTTTTATGTCCATCAGTTAAATATCATGAAAAATATGTCAGTTTGTCAGGTTAAAATGTTGACAATAGGCTCTTTGAACATCTCACACTGCTAATTTTTTAGGAACTTTCACAAGGAGCTTGTAGTTCTGAATCAATAAGCTGACTGTTGTAGGAGCAGCACACTCAAGCTTATGCCCTGTGCACGTCACAGACCACATAAGGAACATGTAGGTGTAGAATGTTAGACAGTAAGGATGTCTACCTCGGGGTTCTAGTGGGATTCTGGATAAACACCTGTGCCTGGCTCAAGGAAGTTAAGATTCATCATTGAGTTTTGAATACTGTTGGGTGGAAAATCTGATGATGCTTGGCTAGGGAGGAACTTTTAGGCTGTACTTCTTGTGTGTGTGGCATATGTGTGTGTAGGTGTTTGTACACAGGTACATGTGTACATGTGTGTATGTACATACAGAGGCCAGAAGATGATGTTGGGTATCTTCTTCAGATACGTTCCAACTTATTTATTTATTTATTTATTTATTTATTATTTACTTATTTATTATTTATTGTGTGTGTTGTATGCATGTGAGCACATGTGCCATGGTTCATATGTGCAGGTCAGATAACAGTTTGTGGGAACTGGTTTTCTCCTTCTACCATGTGGATCCTGTGCTTCACCACCTTGCCAGCCCCATTTTAGTTTTTGACACAGGGTGCCTCACTGAATATGGAGCTCATTGATTTGGCAAGGCCGTTTGGCCATTGGGCTCCATAGATCCACCTGTCTGACTGCTCAGCACTGGGATTATAGGTATGTGCTACCATGCCCAGCTTCTTACATGGGTACTGGGATCGGAACTCGCGACTTCAGATTTGCACAGCAGGTTCTTCACTGGCTGATCCGTCTCTTTTCCCTAGCCCCAGCCTGTGCTTCTGATGGGGGATTTTATGTTGATGATCATGAGGAACTCTTGCTGGTACAGCTGGACTTTCATAATGGTGGGTGTGTGAGGAGTGAGTGGGTGGGGACACTGAGGTCCCAGGGATGAGTGGCACCTGCAGTGGGTGATGCTGGTGAATGAGGTGGGAGAAGGTGATAAATGAGCGCTATTTAGGAAATGACGTGGTCACATTCAGATGGGGAGAGGCACAGGTTGAGGATCACTCCAGGGCTTCTGGCTCCAGCCAGCAGGAGGAGAGTGGGCAGCTATCAACCTACTCCTTGGGAATGTTCTCCACTGTTTTTATTTAGTATAGGTACAATCTTATATATTTGAGAAGATTTTAAGATGTAATAAAAATGCATGATCTTTAGTTTGCCAAAGCAGGCCTTCATGTTGAGGTGTGAAGTTGATATTTTCTGTTTCTTCTCCTAGATTTGATATTCGTGTCCAACTCATTGGGAAATCTGACTGAGACCTCAGGAAAGACATCTTCTGAGTCAAAAAATCCTCAAGCTGAGCCTTTGTCTGGTCAACTCTCACATTTTACAGGCAGGGAAACTGAGGCCAGGCCCCAGAATTCCTTGCTACTGGCAACCCCCAGGTTCTGCTCCTGACCACACCTCCCCACACTGTGCTTGAATTAGGAGAACATTCTTTCAGCAGATCTCCCCGCCTCCAGTCTCTCTCGGCTTGAAACCATCCTACACACAGCTGCTGGGATAATCTTTCTAAAGCCATTTTTATCATGTCACTTCTCGGCACACTGTTTTCTGTTGCCTTTTGTCACATCCAGATTTCTCCTTTCTGGCTCTCAGAGCCTTCCTCAAAATGTGCCTTCTTCCTGGGGTTTACTTTGTGCCTTTATGGGAAGCCACCCCACAGAGCTGCTCCTGTGACTCCCTGTACCCTTTGCTATTTCTTGCCACTGGGCCTTTGCATGTGCTTTGTCATCCTCCTGGAACGCTCTTTAATAACTTGTGTTAGTTTTCATCGCCATATCCTTTTTATGCCTCTGAGTTCCTTTCTTCTTTGAACTCACTGCTACAAATTCTTTCCTCTCTCCAATCATTCCTTTACATTGTCCCTTTTAGTAATTAGTCACTCAGCTTACAGCAGCTTATATAAAATGTATTAACCAACAAAACCTGTGGTTGTATGATTACCAAAATTGGAAAAGCCATACTCATTGGAACACCACTGTGAAGCTGCTTTGGAAAGGGGTTTCCAATGCATTTTGACAATGGTGCTGTCATACCACAGCCATTTGTTTCACCAGTGTTTTAAGGAAGGGTGCTTTGTGGTTGAGCTATGCCTATACCTTACTGGCTGGTAGAATATTCTTCAGATTCCTTGGAATGGCACCTTGCCACAGGGGATCCATGGGTGTTCCATCAGTATCCATGTGCTGTTCCCAGCAGCCATTTCATGGTGTTGAGTCACTGTCAGTGGCCCACAGGCAGAGAAGGAGTTGGGAGTTACACAGTTCTATGTCTGAGCTCAGATGACTTTGATTTAAAGGTCATGTGCCTTCCATTTTCCTATTTTGGATTCATGATTTTAGCAGAATTTGGATGGTAGTGCAGTTAAGAAGCATATACAGTTGCCCAGCTCTCTACATTGAAGTCACTGCACGATCAGTGGCTGAGTCGGTTCCTTTTAAGAAGTACTTGGGG